ACATCTAAACTGTTGCTGTTAGGTACATGGGTAACATATATTCAGTGGTGTACATCTAAACTGTTGCTGTTAGGTACATGGGTAACATATATTCAGTGGTGTACATCTAAACTGTTGCTGTTAGGTACATGGGTAAAATATATTCAGTGGTGTACATTTAAACTGTTGCTGTCAGGTACATGGGTAACATATGTTCAATGGTGTACATTTAAACTGTTGCTGTTAGGTACATGGGTAACATATATTCAGTGGTGTACATTTAAACTGTTGCTGTTTAGTACATGGGTAACATATATTCAGTGGTGTACATTTAAACTGTTGCTGTTTAGTACATGGTTAACATATGTTCAATGGTGTACATTTAAACTGTTGCTGTTAGGTACATGGGTAACATATATTCAGTGGTGTACATTTAAACTGTTGCTGTTTAGTACATGGTTAACATATGTTCAATGGTGTACATTTAAACTGTTGCTGTTGGGTACATGGGTAACATAGGTTCAGTGGTTTATATCTCAACATATATTTTTATAGAATGTAAGCTAATATTACTACATTCTGCTAGTTCGGTAAACACAAAATTAATAAAGTAAAAACCTCTCACTATGTTACTTCTGTAATAAAAACTTTAATCCTAACTAGTAAGGTCCAAAGCAAACTTAGACTACTTATAAGTTATTGGTACGATTTCTCCAAAGTGTTTTATTATTATAGTTATGATTAGTAGAGATTATGATATACATTTAGAATGGCAACATATACCTTAAAGAGAATCGTTATTATAAGTGAATGACAATATTCAAATGCTAGTAAAATCTGAACTCACTAAGTAGCCTTCCCCGGGTCCTTCGATTTCTTGTCCTTTTTCATCTAAAATTGCAGGAAGTACTCCAAAGAATGGAAAAGTCTGATGAATAAAATATACATAACAATTAAGAACTTTTGTCTTTAAACAAATTATTCTCCAAAAATTACAAAATGCTACTTTGTATTGTAAATTTTATGTATTAAATTAAAAAAAAATTCTTATCAACATTTTAATTATGAACAACAAATGTATTAGTTATGTCCTACATAATAACAGTAAAGTAACAATATTAAAATATAAAATTATGCTTCAGTTAATTATAATTCTACTAATTTCATGCATTCAGTAAAACATATTATCCAAAGCAGAGCAAATGTCTTGCATATATAATGAACTAATAATGTAAATAATCTTACTGCTGAGCCTGGTTTGGCCGGAGTACATCCTGGAAGAGGAGTCAGTACATGACCTCCCTGAAAATAAAAATGATTTTACCTCATTAAGCTGTAGTCTAGCACATCCTAACCCAAGCAAAATTTGGTTAACTAGACTAGGTATAATAATCTTGGGAGTTTTCTGTAACAAGTAACCACAAGTATTAATATTACGTACTACTGTAGGTCTAAACACAGGGATGTTAGTTTATAATCCAATAAGGTTTGTGATTATTTTCTGTAAGACACAATTACAAATATTAAAATTTTACAGTATGATAAAAAAAAAATCAAAATATTTAAATTTATCTGATTGAAAATATTACAGCAAAAACACAATTTATAACTACTTATCACCTAGATTCATAACTACTTACAGTTTCTGTTTGCCAAAAAGTGTCTACTATGGGACATCGACCTTCTCCAACAACTCTGTAGTACCACAACCAAGCCTCTGGATTGATGGGTTCTCCTACAGTACCCAGTACTTTGAGGGATGAACAGTTGAACCTTGTCAACAAGAGTATTTATTCTAGTATCAAGTTTAAGTAAGAGGTTCATCTGTTGTTTCATTATGGTTTCAACTTTGAATGTTTTAGAAATATTTTGAAATAAGTATTTTAAAACATAGAAGTTGCTATTTATCTAACATGAATGAACTTACTTATGAGTTGAAACCCACAGATACACTGTATGTCTATAATTCAGTTCACAACACTTAGCAGATAGCATTAGTTAAATCAAGATATTTAATATTAAGAGAAAACTATAATGTGCTTGGTGTATCACTATGTTAATCTAACTGATTTGACAACAAAAAGTTGATGTTTGAATATGAATTGTTAACAAGGGTTAATGGTTTTCAAATGAGACCTAAGACTCAAGAGCTTTTGATTAGTTCACTGTGAACTATTCGAAAGCACTCTAGTTTTGGGTCTCGTTTGAAAACCATTACAACTTTGCATGTGATCCTGTCTGCTAACTTCTTAAACAAGGATTAATTTACTTTTTCACAAATATATCTTCATGTTTCATGAGAGCTCTGATAGCTGTTGGGGCAGTGTAGAATTTGTTCACAGCATACTTTTCAACAATCTCCCAATACCGGCCCGGATGTGGGTAAAAAGGAGTGCCTTCAAACTGTGAAAGACAGAATAGAAATAACAATGCAAGAAGTTCTTGGAACAAGTCAGTTATTACAACACAATAACAATGCAAGAAGTTCTT